TAGGATAGTCTGGTATATAAAAGAGGGTGACAACGTGACGGAATAATAATGTGTGTGTGTAGACAGTGAGTAATTGATCTGTTTGTTTTAGCGCGATTGTTGAAATTAAGTGTATCGTAAAGTTATATTGGGAAAGAATAAACCAGTTTTATTAAGTAAGGACTTGTGTCGCTAAAGTTTCGTCGGAACGAAGTTATGGAAAATTAATTAACAAACGGAGACGTAACAGTATATTGTAAGAGAGTGAAAAACTTGAAATTTTGAAATCTATAGATATATTCTTAGGAAAAATTTAAAAAGTTGGAGCACAACAAAAACAAGCCAATATCAGAGTTTTTTTTTAAAAAATGACATAAGTCTGTAAAATAGAATTTTTTGCATCTTCACATTTTCTCATACATTGTATTCATTTTAACCCACAAATGTTGAAAACCATAAAAGTGACCAAAAATCACTTTAATTGTGTATAAAAGTATTGCATTTTATGTACTATAATGCAAGATATGGCACAACGACATCCAAATTAGTTGGACGCTCTAAAAGCTGTATTACTGAAGATGTAAAATCTAATTTGGGAGTTCAGAGTGTAGACTCATCATATGACACAGAGAAGTGCAGATTAAGAATTTTTTGATATTTCATTTTGAAGTTAACAACTTTAAATACAGATAATATAAAAATTTTAATTATAACTATGTTTTGATTCCGAGGTTATTGACGTACATTGATAATAAATTTTTAGTGTAACCCTGTAAAAGGTCGTAGCATGTGCTCTTTGCCCTGCCATACAGAAAGAGTTAATGCACTCATTTTTAAATTTTTCCAAGAAAAATACTATGGACTACTGAGTCATGCAGGCTCAATGGACGAACTACTGAGCACACCTTATTTTTCTGTCACCATATTATAGGAAATTACCACTCATGAAAGTGTTGGAGTCCATGAAAGTACCTACATCACTGTGTCTACAATGATAAGAACATCTTGGTCAGGTGATGGTTGTGAAGCTGTGAAGAAGAGGGTATAGCCACACCACTGTTCTCCTTGAACACAGTGAAGCAAATCACTCTACCAACATTCAATAATACTGTTACGTCTCCGTTTGTTAAATAACTTTCCGTAACTTCGTTCCGACGAAACTTTAGCGACACAAGTCCTTACTTAATAAAACTGGTTTATTCTTTCTGAATACAACTTTACGATACACTTATTTTCAACAATCGCTCTATAACAAACGCTATATCAACGAACGTCAACAATACTTCTGACTGCAGTTCAGTTACTCACTATCTACACACACATTATTGTCCCGTCACATTGTCACCCTCTTATATATACCAGACTACCCTATATCCAGCAAACGCTAGAGCATTCGCCAAAGTACAGGTTAGTTCTAGAAAGTAGAGGGCGTGAGAACAGTCACGTGATCTCGATGACGCAACAATACATTTTCTGAAGTGTTTCATGCAGTTAACTGCTTGGAATGAATGGACTCTGGAAGTGGCCATGCAACAACTGGTTTACACAGTCTGGACTTCAATGCTATCAAGGACTTAAGTGAGAATCAACTGTATAACTTCAAGGCAGTCATTACCAAGTTGTGCCAAATGTTTGAACTAGTGGAAAATGGTGAGAGGCTTGGAAAAGAGGTACCATGGAAAGCTTGATTGCTTATGCTGATGTGTGATATTTTTACCCTGCAATGGCCTCGGTGAATTGTGAGGATATCTTCCTTATATAAAGGCTATTCAATGAAAGTATGCAGCACAACCTGGGTGTGAGAGATCACACTTTTATTGAGGTAGTATCTGTCATGATGTTGTATGAAGTAGTAACTTCTAGGTTGTTGCAAGAGACAAAGAAGCTATAGCATCATAGACCATCTTAACCATGCATCAATGTCACACCAGGCTCGAGCCCAGATAAAGGTCAAACAATCACCCACACATTCTGCCATTTTGAATAAACAACACTGATATACGGTGAATGAGCAAGGTTACCCCAGTCCTTCTATGGTTTATATGCTGCTGATATCTCTGCTACAATGTCATCCTTGATTGAAGAAGTGAAACATCATTTCCTGTGGAATGTTGAGTCACTTTCGGGAGAACTGTATATTTTGGTTAGCTGCAAGGTAGGCAGGTTTTCAATAATGGTAAAATAAGTGCAGGAAATCAACAGCGGGCAACGAACGCATTTACTAAAGCTTTATGAAACTAGAGGAACCCAACTTGAGCCTGGCCACAGGTTTGGAAGAGCACAACAAACAACTTGTACCAAAAGTGTAGTGGTCATCCCAGATTTCTAGAGACTGGGCTAGTCTTAGTATATGCTTATTGGAGCATAATGGCGAGAGATGAAATTCATTCTAGGTACAGGAGTTGCCAGGACATTGGTAGATTTTGCACTATATTAGACACTGGGTATATCCATTACTTGGACCAGTCAACCAAAAGTTTGTTCTGGCAAATGGATACAAACTAAACATGAATGGAGAGGTCATGCTTTCACTATGCTTACAGAACAAAGGTAGTCATCACTGACATTAGTTCTGACATTGGCATCTTTGGGATGAATATACTGTTGAACTTATTGGGCA